GTGTGCTCTTACAATCTATTTAGTTTTATGAATAAATCAAGGAGTACTATAATAACCATATTGGATGTCATACCTATTGGCTTTGGTAAACTTGCAATATTTGTTCTTAAAGATATTAAAAGTTTCAATGGATTTATTGAATATGGATTATTATTTACAAAGAAAATTAAATCTGAAAAATTATTCCAGTTTTTATACAGTATTTTCTACTTGAAGTAATACACAGTTATGATTGGCTTCATCCGCTATTCATTCTGCAAAACAGAATCTTCCCTTTAATTCCTTACGTAAGTTTGTTCCACGGTCAACTATCATTTTTCGAAATATCATTAGAAAATGCAAGGTGTCGTCGTTTACCAAATAATTATCAGGATTTAATTTGCCTTCTGGAACAATACGATATTTGTTGTGGTAAGATTATGCAATATTTAAATCAAATGCAAGATGCTATAGAATTTATGATTTATTTCATCATTCTTTTCAGAGTTGAATTGCGTAGATGGAATATGCGAGAATCAATTATCTTACTTCAATGACTTCAGATATGAAATGATTTTCGATAATGAGTTTCGGGAATGTATAGTATATCTAGCTCTAACACCAATTTTATATTGTGCTTTATTAATTATAATGGAAGAGAAGCTGTTTTCAAAATTACTCATGAAAATAAAAGGTACAAAATTAAGGAAGGGACAAGATATAATGGATGATCAAGTGAAGAGGGAGAAACTTGCAGTAGCGGAAGAATTTAATAAAATTTATAATCAAAGTAAGATAATTTGTAATCTTCAAAGAAACGATATATGAAAGTTAAAAAGCTGAACATGAACATTATAATTTATATAAGATATGTCTATTAGGTGTAGTAGAAAGTTCTTTGCTTTAAGTTTTGCACCGATCAAAGCATCATTTCAAATTGAAATATTTCTGCCTTATTAATGCGATTTTAAAGTTAATATTAATAGTACAAAAAACAATGGTGTGGGGCAGCCATAACTTTAAAAATTAATACCGTTATTCAGTTGTTAATAATATAGCAATGACTAAGAAACATACTCTATACTCAATCCATCTAGCATTTTATCTAAAAAAAAATGCTGCTGAAGCTGCCAAAATGATTTGTACTGCATATGGTAATAATGCTGTAAATCACACATGAAACAATACCTAAAATTGATACAAAAAATTTTGCGATGAAAATTTTGATTTGAAAGATCAACAGATCGGAAGAGCACACGTCTGAACTCCA